TGATGGAAGTGTCTGATGTTGGTTGGAACTGTTAAAGGGGGTACTGGGTCTAAGGAGTGTATGTCTAAGGGGTCCTTGGATCATTCCTCAGAACAGGACATTCAGTAAATGGACTGGTGTCCTCATCATATGACACAGGACAACAGTGCAGACTTCAGAATCCTCAACCCAAAAGCCATACTATGGGTGCTGTTAAGACTTCCTCATGTATTTGAAGCCTGCAGAAGAGAGCAGCTACAAGCACATTGGTTGGTGCATAGATAGGAAGTACTGCTGGAGGAGTCAATTCTGCAACATGGCTGCTGGTGTTCAAGTGATGATGTGCAAAACTGGGTATCTTTGTAAGAGGGAGAGAGGGAACACGAAGGATGATTTCAGACAGTGAGTGATGGGGATGCCAGGAAGGCATGTTCTCAATGGCCTTCCAAAACTCACGTTGTCATCTCGTTAAATAATGGTATCACTTTGTGCAGTGATAGATCACTGCAAGTACAGCATCCGGAGGAGTAATATTTATGTCCTGAAAGTTGTATCGTTGACCTGACTTTCATACTTACATTGGTTAGCTCTTCTGTGCTTTTGACAAGTGTTACTCAAATAGTGCAACCTTATATGCTTTTTCATTATTTTTGAGGCTCAAAATTCAGCTGCTAATACTCTCCTAGTGATCTTCTCAAGTCTTTTCCAAATGGAATGGTGATGGAGAATAATATGCTGTAGAAGCAAATGGTTGTGTATTTGCTGGGAATAACTCTGCTTTTCTGTGCTTAGGGTTAAGGGGCAGAGCTATAAAGTGAATTTTGTTTCTCTTTCTGGCCAACAATTGCAGCAGATTGTTGGAAATAAAATAGTGACAGGATAGTAAAATCCCACTAAAGTAATTGGTGAGGGATAACTTGTTGTTAACAAATAATGTTGTAGTATACAGATGTGAGCCTCCTCTTATACAACAGGGAGAAATAAAAAAAGTACAGTACAGAAAGTAAAAAGGATCATTAACCGGAAGTCTTCATAAACACTGCAAAGCAGGGGAAGAAGAAAAAGTAAGTGAAAAAGAATGTAATTACTGGGGAAAGCAGGAGCATGCAGATGATCCTAATGTGTTCCTGAAAAGATGTAAGCTGCTGGCCTGGGACATAAAGGAGCTGATGAACTTAGTTTCTGACCTCTCAAAATTTCCAGTGTGGCCTTGAGCAAAACATCAAGTCACTCTTGTCTCAGCATTTAATGATAAATCACCTTGTAGGAAGAGCTGTGAGCTGATCAGTAGTGATAGCTGGTAGAGAATGAATGTTATCAGAACTGAATGTTATCAAGAGATTTCTATGCTATCAGAACCAAAAATTCCAATGGGGATGCACCTTTTTTGGATTATAGTAAGGCTTGTTGTTACGTCAGGATTGTTGTGGGCAAATTGAGAGAGCTCAGCTCAAATAGCTCTGATCCTTCTACAAGCTGATGATGGTTGTGCTTCACTCTCACCTCAGGGTATGGATTTTTCCAGCACTGGATGAGTCCTCTGACCTGTGACGTGTCTTGTCCAGTAAATGTAGAGTGATGCTGAGTGGGGCCGTGAGCATTTGAGCATCTCCTGGCTGCGTTATCATAATCCAAACAGGTGCAAGGACTCTCTGCGTTTGTAGAATCTGCACATGGATGCTCTTGGTTTTCTTCCCCTGCCACACCAATTAACTAAGGAGTGATCAGTGAAGCTGTTAATTGGGAGCAGATCAATTGGGTAAATTGGGTTGGTGACAGCTAAGGCGCTGGAGCTTGACTGTAGGCTTGTTCCCATTGGGAAGGGAGAGCTGTGTGCTTGCCTTTTTGCCATGTAGCTCGTGTTTTCTTCTTCCCTTATTTTCCCCTTTTCCTGTTTACTCACCTGGATCTCCACTGCACCCCTCCACCTTTCCCTTCAATAAAATGCAGAAAATACAGTTGTTTATTTTTTTGTTTGTTTGTTTGTTTTTGCCTAGTTGCTCTTTTCCAGTGTGCTCATGAGTTGAGGAAGGGCTTTGCTATGAGCTAGAGCCAGCAGAAGCAGCAGTGATCAGGTGGGTGGAGGGAGGCAGGGAAGGGAGGGGGCATAGTTTTTGGCAACAGAACTGATACATCGTCTTATCTTGTCCTGCAGAGCCATACCCTGCCAATCACCCAATTAAATGGTGATTCTAGAAGGACATGGGTGAAAGACAGAGGAGTAACACTGGGAGCCAGAGGAAAAAAAGAAAAAAATACTGTCCTGGAAGTGGTCCAGCTCTATGCTGTATAGACTTCATGCTTTGTAACTCTGGCATCACCTTCTTCAGTCTATGAATAATGAATTTCTTGCTGGTTTGACAGTCTGTCCCAGATTTGGCTCACCTCACATTAGCTGACTAAAAGTCAAGCCTCTAATGCCAAGGTTCTTCTCTTGACTCCCTTTGGAGATGAAAAAAAAAAAAAAAAAAAAAGCACACCTGGAAAATGATTCATGCAGCCTGACTGGAGGTGTCAGCAAGTCTTGGGCAGATGCAAGAGGAACCTCAGCCATTACCCTTTTCCAGGAAGAGAACTTCAGTGATGAGTATGCATACAACTTCAGTTCACCAGCCTGAGCTTTGTCTCGGGGGCTATCCATATCACCACTACTCTTAACAGCTTCCCTTCTGCTCATCTTCATCCACAAGCCTTGATAAATGCTGAAGTGCTGCCTTCTGTCTGCTGGGAGCACTGGGACATCTGCCCAGGGCCCCTATGTTGAGCAGAAACTCATGAATCTTCCTTGGCCAGTGCAGGTAATGCTCATGCCAGGGCCTTAGTGTAGTGAGGTTGACCACGCTTTGAGAAAGCCATGAAGGCCAAGCAAAGTGTCTGGAGTGATTTGAGGTTCTACAAGGAGTGTGGCTATCCTTCACAATCATGTCAGAAATTCCAGCACAAATTGGGTGCCACAACAGATGTAGGGGTTGAAATCCAGCCCTTGACACCTGTGTCTGGTCTCAGTAGGTATAGAGTCCCTCCTATAAATGGACTATTTTAGGTAGCTGAAAGGTTGGGGTGCATCTGAGTGGATCTTATTTGATCAGTAAAGATGATAACTTGGGTTATAAGTTTTTTCTTCCGTGTCACCAGAGACTGTGGGTGTACTTTTTCTGTGATGATTATTTCAAGGTAGCCCTGCTGTTCCAAGGTTCTCCTAATTGTCTGAGTATGTTTTATCCAAATCTGTCCCCAGGATGGCTGGTACAAGTGTATGCAATAGAAGAAATAATGAGAATGTAAATGCAGAAGAAAGATACCTGCATGAGAAATCCAGGTGCAATTGTGTTCTCAACGATATCTATTCTGCTACATGAACAATGGCTCGATCTGCTATGGAGTATGTTATGTTACCAGACTACTGTATGAGCTTAGGACTGGTCATGCACAGCAAAATTTTATTGGATGAGGGGTATTGGCAAATATAAAAAGGGGAAAAAAAGAATATGAATAAAGTCAGGAACTTCAAAAACAAAACAAAAGAAACCTCTGGTTATAGGACAGCTGCATTTATCAGCTACCCTTTAGGAAATAATTCTACTGGGCTGTGACTTGGAGATAAATGCTGTTAAGTATTAGTTACAGTTGTTCAAACTTTTTACTTTGGTAGTCAATGTGTAAAATACTTCAGAGCTTGAATAACATTTCAAATTTATTTGAGTAGAACACTTGCAACACAACAAATGGTAAATAGCCTGTTTGTAGGTAGGCTTCTCATTATCAAGGTTGCAAAGTGTTTAGAAAGTGAACTTTTTCTTCTCAAATTATTTCTAAAGAACAGAAATAAGAATCTAGTAGGGCTTGCTACAGGAAAACAAAATTATCAGGGAGGTATTAGTAAGCTTGATGTAAATAAATAATTGAGATTCTGTTTTGAGTATATAATATTTTTGATTGAATTATTGGCAGCTTGAGATACTCAGGCTTTTCATATGTATATTTGCATGTGTCATTCTGTTGTTGCAGATAAACAAGCATGGAGTTCTTTGCATATATAATAATGTTATTATCAGCTCTGTGATAAGGCTAAATGAAAGCACATTCTTTCCTCCTGATGTAGTTTGGCAGCCAAAACATTCTTTGGTTCAGCAAACCTGAAAACAGTCTGTAGCAATTTTTGTGCAAAAGAAGAAGGGGAGATGAAGGTTAAAGGATGAAATGAGCTTTCTGGTGCGAGGGTTTAGGAAAACACCCGGCTCAGCAGTGAGAGGGAGGAAAAAGACGTTGGCAAGAGTTGGTGACTGATTCTCAAATTCCAGTAGAAAGAGTAATCTACGTGTTTGCTAAATTCTGTGCTGGCACTGAGCATACGTAGGGCTTCAACTTAAGTCTTTCTATAGGACAAAGCAGAAATCCTGCCATGAAAAAGCAGTCAGAAGTGTTTTCTAGTGTTCTATACTTCATCTTTAGTGGATGTGGAAAAGCTCAGGATCTTCTCGATTTGAAAGGGATACAGGTACCATTGTTCACACTCCGCCAACATACAATAAGAAAAGATGCAAGAGAAGTAATTGTCAATTCATGGATGTTGTGACTTTGAGTATTTCAAGTTTTGTTTGAAACTGTCTGTATACATGTGGGAGATGAGAAACTGAAGGTTAGCCCCAAGAGAAGGCTTTCACGGGATCTGGCAGAAGCAAGTTGAACATGAGCCAGCAGTGTGCCCTGGGGTACACCAAGCCCAGCACTGCCACTGGGTGAGGGATGGGATTGTCCCTCTCTGGACTTGGTGATCCTGATGGATCCCTTCCAACTTGGTAGGTTCTGTGATTCTGTATAATCTGATAAGGATTGTCCTATACGTAAGGAGCCAGGCATTAGCAAGAACATTAATGTGTACTTCTGCAACTTCCTCAGACGTCCTCACGGCTCAGAAAAATGTTTTAGATTTATGCATGACGTAGCTTTGGATGGTCCCTGCTAATGTGTAAGAGCTTACTGCTTCAATGCTGAGACTCTTGCCTTCATTTCCTCTCCAGATGACAAACAGATGGCTTCTAAAGCATTTGTGATGCTGAGGAGAGGAACATCCATGTAGCAGCCTTCGTTCTGTGTCACTGCAGGTTGTCACAAAGCTCACAAACTGTCAGACAGCACAGAGGTGAGTTCTTTGCAATTGCACCCATGGCAAGAACTATGGAAGTGCAGTGGTGTGAGAGGATCAAGTTTCAAATCTTTGGCAACGAAATTAGATCATGGAAATGGGGGGAGGTAGTGTGGGCTAAGGAGCAACAATTCTTAAATTAAGTAGATATTGATTTCACTGAGGTGAACATCAAGTTTTATTGATCAAAGAGGTAAATATTGACTGAAACATCTTTGTGTTCCCTAACTGCGCTGTTGTTTTTCCTCTGGAACAGTTTTCCTTCTTTTCCTTATTCCTTTCCACTGAATAGTGTCTTTGCCTCAGCTGCTCTAAGTTCCTACTGTTTTGCAAACCCAGCGTTGTTTCTCAGCTCCCGCTGTAAACATCAGAGACAGAAAAATGGCAGTGACTTTCATAAATCAATAAAACCTATACCCAACAGCCATTAACAAACTAAAAAGGTCTTTGGAATTCCAAATAACTTCTTATAAAATAATAACAAAAGCTTCTGTGGCCCTGTCAGTTTTTTAGGTCCTATGAAACAAAAAATAACTTGAAACCACATCGTAAGAAAATGATGACTTTTGGTTTTAAAGAGAAAAAAAATATTACTTCATTTCTAATGGTAAATCAGTCTCTGTGATCTTTCTGGTGAAACAACTACTTATTATCTTAATATAATTATCAGTTTCCGGGAAGGTAGAAACTTTGCAGGTAGTGGAGAACTGAGTAGTTGAAGGGAAGGACTAAAGAAGAATATATGGAACAGATAAAATAATGAAAGAATTCTTTGTGAGGCACATAAACTACATAGTTGGATGGTGTCTTAACGTAATGAAAACACAGGACAGTATCCTAATGTGATGAAAATTCAAGAAGTTACAGCTTTAAAAAGCAGTTATGTGACTGCAATATGCGCACCTGGGAGTATGACTTTATATTTAAGGGAAGAATATAATAGGAAGACAGATTAAGAACAATGGTAACATGGAAAAGAGTTACTTCCAGACAAATTGTTGCCTTTTGAATCACCAAATCATTTTGATTTTTTTTCCTGAAATGATTGTCATGCTGGGTTTTAAGCAACCTTTAAATCTGGAGGCAGTGAGAATGCTGTCTTCCCTCTGTGATACAGGTGGGAGCTATTTCTGTTACCCCAATGTTGTCTCCAACGCTTGTGTCTGAAATCTCCAGGCGTGGCAGGTATGAGAAATGTGTAGTGTGAGTCCAGACCTGCATTGTGATAATTTATAGAGAGAGATTTCATAGGAAATTGCTTATTGGTTGATTTTACTGTAAGGAAGTGTAGAAAAATGGCCCAGGTAGTAAAGACTGTGCTTAAATGCAGCTCTATGAGAGCATGGAGATGATGTATGGCCCAGTTCTGAACTTACAAACTTTCTGCCTTCATTTCCCCTTTTCAAGCTCTTTATTTGGATGGGTCTTTTTGGTTCTGTTTTTATCAAATGAAAATAGGGCTAAAATTCTGTCACCATGTGTGTAATGCGGCCTGGTGGGACAGTCCATTGAATGTCGTACCTGCTTCAACAGACTGCACCTTCTGTTCAGACCTCTGGGCTGGTGACTGTGCACAGTGTGACAGAGTTAAACATTTGCACTTCAAATTTATGTTAGGTTTTCTTGATGGATTTCTCGTTGCAAAAGCCCATTACTAATCATTGCGTTTCTGCACTCTAGCCATCCCTACCATGGAAGCCACAGGACAGCTTTTCTTTTCTTGTTCTGTAGAATACTTCTTTTAAAGTTTTCTTGTTTTTTTTACTACTACTATTATTATTATTATTATTATACATAGGAAAAAGAAATCTACCTCATTCAATTTTCCCAGAGAGCATTCAGTCCCATTTCTGTGTTCACCGCCAGCCATTTTTGTGATGCAGTTGTTGGCCAAGAGTAGTAACTGAATGTTGTATGTGTTCTTGTGGAACAGGGCTTTCACAAAGTGCTATTCATGCAAATAAAGGGGATCCCATTTTAAAACTAGCTGATATTTTCCACGCAGCTTTTCTCTTTGATGGGCATTTTGAATGTCCCCAGAAATTTGGAAAATGGAGGGCTGCATTAAGGGAAGTGACCTAACAAACTGGGCACTGGGGAACATGTCAGGATTGCAATATATGCTGTAAAAAGAGCTACGGTTTTAGAAGAATCACAGGGTCCTGAAACTGCTAAATTCCTGAAAAATAATGGCACCCTCAAGTGTGGCCATGTAGTGATGATCTGAAAGTAATTCCCATCACCATCAACCTGAAGTTCCTTGGCCTGAGGTGTTATGGGACAAGCTAACAGGATGGAGCCTGTGGTTTCCTTATCATCAGATTGTACTCATGCATCTCTCCATTAGACTTAACAGTAATCCTGGAAGTAGAATTTCTTTTCCTTTCAAAATGATCTAAATTCTTGGAGAAAGATGCAGTCTCAACTTCAAACACAAAACCGGGGGCTCTTTTCCCTGTCCTTTCACATCCCCTGGACGTGTCACCTGCTGCCTGTTGTGGCTGTGCTCCCAGCGTGTGTGGCAGCACTGACAGAACTGTCAGAGCTGCAGCTTTACTCCCTAGGGTGTGATCAAACCTGGGCAGGCTGAAAGTCATTGCTGCTGAGCTGTGGCACCATTTTTTCTTTCCTTTTTCTGACTGTAAATCGTGTGGTGACAACTTGAGACCCTTAATGCAGGCAGGATTTCTCTCTTTACTGAAACTCCTTTATGTGTGTGCTCAATTGCCTGCAGGAAAATGAGTTTGCCGACAGACACTGCCGAGATGGGGCTTGAGGAGCAAGCAGCATTACTCCACTTTGCTTTTCCTAACTTTGTACTTACTAGATGCTGGTTCTGTTCTCAGAGCTTCTGGTCTGCTGTGGAGGTGAACCTGGAGCTTTCTTGTCTTTCAGAGCTGTGCAAGGAGAGCAAGACTGGGCAAGCAGAGCAGATGCTCAAGTGATCAAACAAATCTCGCAGAATTCATGTTAATGTACATTGCTGAGAATTTTTGTGGGTAGTGTTCAGAACACATGAATGTTCCCTGCAAGTTTATCTCATAGCTGCTAATTTTGTTGGTCTTGATCTCCAGCTATCTAAAGCTTTTTTGTATTAGCAGGGACACAGCTTGCTCCTTGTCCTTTTAATTAGTCTTGTAAGTATCAGGAAGAAGTATAGCATAGACGGAAGGTAAAAACATAATGGAAGCAGAAGTATCTAAACAAAATATTAGCACAGGGAAAAAACTGAGATATATATCAGCATGGATCTTAAGCAGAGACAAAATAGAAGACACTTATGAGTAGGCTATCATGAAGTATATTATAAGCTTCCCAGGAAATCAATAGACATTTTTGAGTTTTAATTAGCAATTTAGCCATTATTTTAAAGCAGTATTGAATAGCTTTCCATGCAGCTTAGCAAAGTAAAGATGAAACCCTTTCTGTTCAGGCATTGCTGATTCGAAGGTAGCATGTTGAGATCATAGATACTAGGTTCTCTCTTTCCACATACACTGCTGGTTTGTGCATCACATACAATTTTGGCTCTATTTTGATGTATTAAGCACAAACAGTTTGAGTGCATGGTTGTAAGTTGGAATGTGGAGGTAATGGGAGGACTCACTGAAAAGTTAATATCGAGAAGGGAATACCTTGCACTGGTAAGTCAAACAAGATTTGACTCATAAATGTGACTGATGTAAATCTGCGAAGAAAATTCAAATAACACCTGACTTTGAAAGTTTGAAATATCACATTTGCTATTTTGTTTCTTCCTGTTACTATTCATAATCTAATAACATTGTGATACCAGAAAAACAAACTTCAAACAAGAAAAAAATTTCCTTGACTTGTGGTCCCTTCAGGGCCACAGAGCAATAAGAATCATTCCTGTGAGAATTCAGTAGATTTTGCAGACCTAAAAGGAGAGTGAATTAGTTCAAAACAGCGCTGAGCAAGCAGCTAGCCTAGCCCAGCAGCCAGCCCTCTAATGGCAGCTTTGTTCCTCTCCATGTCCATAAACCTGTTCTAGCAGTACAAAAGGACTGACACTGATTTCATGAAATGCATGTAGTCTGCGAATAGTTATTTGGGCTCCTTAACATTAAGAGTTGGGATTTTACTAGAGGGACAGCATCCTGTGGCTGCACAGCTCTCTGTGCACAGCCTAGCATTTGCATAAACAAAACCTACAGCCAAAATCAATGTCCAGGTTTGTAAACAATCATCCACCAGCATTCCAAGTTAATTGCTTTATATATGGAGAAGGTGCTGTAATGACTTTTTGTAGTCAATTGGACCAGGCATGGTTGCAAACTAGTTGAGCTATTGTATTTATCGATTGTTCTTCCAGTATTTCTCCCCTGGCAAGTTTCCTAATGTGCTTATCCATTATAGCTAGGCAGTGGGCTTGGAGGTTTAAAGATGGGTTAGATTTGGCCATGGCTTTTTGGAGGACTGTTGATAAGGTTTGGTTAGGAGGCCTGTGGAGAGTTACTCCTTCTTTTTGCCAGCATCTCTATCTAGACTGACAGGCTGGACAGCTCAGGCCTCTTTTTCTATTTGCAGACAAAGCTGGAGGTGAAAAGACTGTGCCCCAAAATTCATTGGTGGTAGCTGCACTCAGTGGCATTGGAGAGCTCTATCTCCATGGTCCTGCACAGGGTTGGCTGAGCACTTCAATCTCTTTCAAGAGTACAGAGATAGAGAGATATTTTTAAACAACACTTCACAAGAGAAGAGCAGTTGCGGCATGATTTATCAAGACAGGGTAATGCTTTCAATTAGGAAATAGTGGCTAAGTTATGCCTTCTCTGTGCACTTACACTGACCAAACTTGATGAGAGCACCTTGGAATTAGGATGGCTGTGAATACGCTCTTGAAGTTGAGCAGGAATAGTTTAATACCCTAGAAATGATATTTTGGATCTACCAAGTCACCGGTGTATCGCTGTTTCTTATATTGTAGTAGCTTTCAGCTGGGGCTCTTAGGAAGAACAAACTCTATTTGAAGC